AATCTCCCTTTAAATATTAGTCTTGTGCCAGCACTTAGAAAGACAAAGTCAAGCGTTCTCCCCTCCTTCCATACCATAGCAAGCCGTACCCAGCATACTGCCCAGCATCCCGAATAGCAAACAAAAGGATTTGTTGCTTGTTTTGGGGTGGAAGAACAGAGGGAGAAACATCAGCATTACTTCAATAAACTCTTCAGCCGCTGATTGTGCTTAGCCAGAAATAAAATTACGTGTAGCATCACCTGCCCAGTGTGGCAGCAACCTTCTGGCCACCGGCATGTCCCCAGCTATGTCCTGCTTGTACTCCTCGTACAACAAATGCTAGAACTGGTGCGACCAAGGGGAGACTCAGAGCCTTGCACACAGTTCTCAGCTCGTAATAATGGCAAGGGTGCACACAGGGAAGGGGGGTTCAGCCTATACGTTCTCAGGCATATAAGCACCCTGTTTACATACAGTTGCCACAATCTGGCACTGAAGTTGTAGCAGCCGGCAATGTTTTCAGCCCCAGGAAACTAGTGATTTTGGAAAGCACCACAGACAGCTCTTCGCCTACGCAAAGACTGAATTTAATGGAACAACCTAACACCAAAATTCAATGAAAAATGTCAATCTTTAATTATCGTCCCAATTTGGCAGGGCACTGTAAGAAATGCTTAATTTTAAGACCATGCTTAAACTCTCTGCTGAACATGAACTGGACATTTCTAAAATTAAACACCTGCTTAAATGACTTGCTAAAATTGGAGTGTAAAGAAATGGGGTACCAGGCAAATCCACTTGCAGCTCTGGCTCAGAAAAGCAGAAAAGTGTATTCCATTATAAAAGTAAAGTTACTGAAAAAGCTTCCTCATCTGAAAGGCACCAAGGAGATTACAGCACAGACTTCACCAATTACTTACATAAAATCAGAACAATAGCAAGTGATAATCTTGAATCGCAAAATGTTCATAAAACCCTTCTGCTACCAGTGAGTTATTCCTCATGTGTGTTAATTAAATCAGTTTAATTTGGGAAATACACATTTGTACTGACTTACAGTTTCACATACTGAGCCACCTAGTTGTTACCAGGAGATGTGAAGCAAGAGCAATCCCAGAGCTGTGCAGAAGTGCTTTGTAGCAAAAAGCAAGCAGAGAAACCAGCAAAAGCAAAACTAATATTAAAGAACTTGGAGACTGTTACAACGCTGAAACTTCTCCTTTGCAGGGATTGGAAAAATGCAGTTTTTCTTATGGGCTTTACTTTTCTCTTACTCCCCTTTTCCAGGGGTCGTAAATTGCTCTCAGCTGTGAAGGGATGACAAGCATTTCACTTCATGGAAAAAAATAATACTTTGAGGTTACTAGACAGAACTCTGTTCTACAGAAATGAAATCAGAAATAAAATCAGTGTTTGTATGTTTTACATAATGGCACTTCCGACTTCTCTGAAATTCTGCATGCTCGCTATTTCTTGGAGCCATTTTCCTTGCCTGACTTACAGAGCACTGAAGAACATGGAGCTGGCAGGCAGATTATGTTACTACACCGAACTGCATTTGAAAACATCAACTACTGCAGACTGCAGCTGTCCTACTGCAGAGGCCAAATTACTCACATGGACCATACCACCCCTCTGTTCAATAAACTGACTCTTCAGAGCCAGCCCTTCTCTAAAGAGCAGAGCAGCAGAGCTCTGCCAACGCCCTGCAGCCAGCATTGCCCAATTTAAACACAGGGGAGTAACAGACTTCAACGAAGGGACCCTTTGCTTTGGAATTCGCTCCTACCAGACTCAGAACTTGTTGAAACTCAGAGAGGGCTATGCACCCTGCCTAGTTTCCAAAGCTGTTTCATGCAAGTAAAGATAATTTATTTAAACTGTATTTAAAATTTGTATTTAAAAAAAAAAACAAAACCAAAAACCCCCCAAACAAAACAACAAACCAGCAGTGAACCAAGCTGGTAGCAAGCAAACAAGAATGTTCCTAGATAAGATCCTTTTTTTTTTTTTATCCCGCCCCTGCCAAAAAACCTCCTGCCCTTATGCATTGTCCTATGCCATTTGCACCACAGGACAATGTTTACTGTGCAGTTTTAATCTTGAAGATAAAACAAGCACCCTCAGGAATGATATACAATCGATGAATAAACACTGCTATTGGCATCGTGCTCTCCATCTTCAGCGACCTAAGTGTGCTCTATCACAGCTCCTCAGTTTGGTCTTGAAAGCAGCAGCACATGCACCTTGCCTGCTAGAGGATGCAAGAGCCAGTGCACAAGCTCGATACTACAGAAAGGAATACTTCAAGGGTTGCAAAACTTAAACTGGAAGCGTCTTTCATTTTTTTACATGAAGAACTGCAACAGCTGAAAAGGGAAAGCTCATCTGATAAACAGAAATTCAAAATGTCACCAGTGTAACTAGTTTTTGAGAAAAATATTTACACTGCAGCTGAATCAAGATGCTTTGCAGCCAAAGCCCAGCAAAACTGCAACAACGGAGAAGGTTTTGTGTCTGCTTTTTAATGATTACATCCTAATTACAGCAAAATTTCACCCTTCCCCAATGCTGGCTGGGAGAATCATTGTAAAATGCAGGGTCCTGCAAATTAGCAAGCAAGTGAACAATAAAATCCCCCCCAAGGATAATGCATCACAAAACACACTGCATTCATTTATTTGGCGAAGTGCAGTTTAATTACTTGTAAAAATAATGACTCCTTTGTATGGGCTCTTGCTAACATGCGTTGCTGCTCGGTATTTTGCTGAGTGGTACAAGTTGCGTGCCAAATTTGCGTGCATGGATTATACAGCGTGCACATAAGCAAAGAGCAGAAAAGAGATTGTACAGTATCCATTGTGTTTTGACAACACACAAATGACATATACTCTCTTCATGGAATTTGCTTTTCTATGTTTTGAAACTTAATATTTCTCCTCTCAATAGGGATTTTCAAGCCTCAATCCCATCTCATTGCAAAAAAACGCTAAGCACAATAAAAATCTCTGCTGGGGAATCAGGATGTGACTGTTTTGCAGCTGCCACCCTCCCGTGGGGAAGAGCTGTGTCGGTCCCCATGTCACACGGTGCTCTCACTGCTCTGGCAGCCCCGAGCTCATAGCACAGTGCTCCACCACCATCCCACCCATAGGGAAAGGGGGCCACGACTTCCAGCATCCACAGATTTCTGTTTGCAAGGCTTCATGGAGATAGCAGGGTTTTCAGAGTCACAGGATATGTGGCACAACTGCAGATGTTTATACATTTTATTTCCACCCAGCAGTCCAAGAGGAACTAACCATAATGAACAGTTTAAGGACATACTAAGAAGAACAGGAGCTGGGATCTTGATGGTAACATTACTGAAGTTGCTAGTGTCTTATTTTCAAAGATGAACTGTAAAGGTCATCAGAGAAATCCCTTGGATTACACCAGCAGCATCCGTTAAAGGGAATGGCACAGGGCAATGCCTGTAATCCAAGTACTCTTCTTTTTTCTTTCCACTGAGTGGGAACTGATATTCCAGTATTGGAACCGGTTGTGAAATACTCCACCAAATACATGAATAGCTGTTGTAATAGTTTTGTTTACTTCCTATTTCTTTTTAAATTACCAGCTCTACTCATATTCAGATTGCAGTATTTGCTGTAAGCTTTATAATCAAGTTTTGGCCAACTTAAGCTTTCTGTAATAGTTTTGGCCAACTTAAGCTTCTTGACAGTATGTAAAGTGTGTTAACATGGTTAGTCTCACTTTGGAGAACTTTGCTGCAGTTATAGGATGAATTTGCACATTCCAGTTTTACAAGATAGCCTGCAAGAGAGTTGTATGTTTTCACAGTATGACTGTTGAACTCGATGGAGAAAAAAGTAACACTGTCATCATCTCTGTATTAATCCCAGCAAAGGGGGCAGAAGAAAAGGTTAGAGTATAGCTCCTGTCCCACCCTGCACCTTCTCCTTCATCCTCACTTTGCATGTGTTTAGCTGAATTGTTAAGAGATGAAACTTAAATGCAATCACTCCAGCAAAATAGACCATATTTTTTGCCCTCTAACACTCCGCCCAACAACTACAGAAAGCAGAATAATTTACAATTCGTAACAGAGAAGTGTTGCGTGATAATGTGGAAAAAAGCAGACTCCTAAACATGACATTGGGTCACTCAACATAAACCCGAAGTATCTGAAAATTCAATTCAGAAAAACAAAGTTAATAACAAAGCTTAAGAGAACCAGGCATCAGAATAACACACATGCAGACCAAGTCTTTTCTTTTACAAATAGCCCCCTGGGGACTTATTTAAGCTTTTTGTCTTTATTAGCCTCAGCTTTTAAAGCTAGATCTCCAAACATTTGCTATTCAAAAATAACTTATCTTCTGAAGGATTCCTTGTAAAACACTGCAGTAAATGCTCATGCCACTAGTTACTTGCTAGGAGTTTGTAAGATCTGGCTGCTTCTTAAGACCACTGAAAAGAGAACTGTTTCTGCTGTTAACTACTTGCATTAATTCTTACCTACATTTTTTTACCTATACTGGTAAGATACCTATTCTCTACAAGATGCCACCTTATTTCAATACAATTATCATTATTTCGTTTAACCAAAAAACTCCAAATCTACAAAGTAAGAACACAACAATCAACAACCACCACCAAGAAGCCTGTTAGCTCCCCCCTTTGGGGCAGCTGTGCTTGTTCAAAGAAAAGCTTTTTCACTTGAGTCTGTGTACAGTTTGTCTTAGTCAATAGTACGGAGACTCACTTTGGACTTTAAGAGACACCTGGAAGCAGAACACTGTGCAACAGAAAAGGAGAACATAACAACATTACTGCGTTTCCCCTAAACCCTAAGGACCTGCTCCCATTGTTGCTACCAAGAAAGGTAAAAGCAAAATTTTATAAAAATTGCCTTTAAGGATAGAGTATAACTCTATCACTATTCAGTAATAATGTACAGCAAAGGCAAGCATGATACAGAATGGAAAACCAGCAGAGGAACCATCAAATCATCCTTACTCTGTCAGAAGCTGGTGCAGCTTCTGGTAGCCCCTCTCCAAGGCCAAGCTTACAGGCGTTGCCCCTTCGTTGTTGTGGATGCTGAGAGCTCCTCTTCCACCTGGCTGCTGGAGCAGAAACCACGTCAGCCGCAGCAGACCCAGCCTCACCGCAAAATGCATCAGAGTTTCCCGAGGGATGTTCTCTGGGAAGAAAGAAGAAAAAAGAAAAAAAAGAAAAAAGAAATGGGAATTTGTAGGCTATGGGTTAGGTGAATGCCATATCCCCACCTCCCAGCCACACCACACACGATGGCTAGCATGGAGCTGACAGCCCAAAAGCTGAGGAACCTGCAGCACCTGGAAAAACACGCTGGCTGCCAATATCCAGGAGAGACCAGTACTTTAAAGCGAGGGACACACTACAGTGGGACTGGAAGTGCTCAGGACCTCTCAGAGTGAGACTGACCACAAAAGTCAATGTGACAAAAACACCATTTCATAAACAGCCACAGCAACCACCAAGTTGCAGCGCTTCCAAACAGAACCTGGCATGGTCAAGTGGGTTATTCTAGATGTCCAAGCCTTCTCCTCACATACCCAGGACCAGGTTTCAGGAACAGACAAGTTTCGTTATTTAATGGGTCGTTGATTTGTCCCAAGGCATGAAAAAAATCAATTACATTTGAAGCACCAATCTAAACCAGTTATTGAAGAGAACAGTTTAACAGCTCGTGTAGAGAAAAAATGAAGATTTTGCTTTCCTGGATTGATTATGCCTCAGACCAGCTTTTCTCAACTTTATACAGTAGCTCTGCCATTCTCAGTAGCAGCAGTTATAAACTCTACTGCTGCTTTTTATGTTTAATAACCGTGACCTTCTAATTTGGTAAAAGTCACTCTTGAGCCTAAGCTTTCATCTCAGAAAAATATCCCCTTACTCTAAAAGCTGCAGCCCTAGAACGATGCTCTGAAAAGCTTCAACCAAAAATGAGCTCCAGATGCACTGCTGAAATACAGTATTTGCAGATCAAAGCCTGCTACTTCTGTATGAAGGGCAAAAGCACATGGGTTAAAAAAACCTGCAAGTAATATAAATTTGTTCTTTTAATTAACAAAGGATTTCAGTATTGACTGGCAGCAACAACAACAACAAAGCACCAACTAGGTCTCAGTAAACCATGCCAATAAGCACACTTGGTATAATACCTTTAATATCATAGCAATGATTTATTGGGTTATTAATTTGGTTGCCAGCCAAACCTATACAGCAGGTTTAAGAATACAAGTACATGATGGCTTTAGGATTTAATTAAGTATTTTTTTCTCAAGAAGTATGCCCCAAGAGAAATCACTTCTTCAAAGTGCTGTTGTTTTTCTTGCTTACTTGCTTTCTTAAGGGACATCGTTAAGACGTTCAGTGAAAAGCAAAGCAAAAATGGGCAGTTCTCCCCTGCCTGACATAAAATTTTTCCCAGCTTTTTGGATCAACTCCTGAAGAACTGATCTGTATTCAAGAACCAAAAGCTTTCTGGCACTGTCTTTCTTCGAGATGACTCCAAATTAGGTCTCTGGGCTACAAACCAATTCTTCTCCCTAACCTCCTCTTGATTACCGTAAAGCAAAACCATGCTGTCCTGAATACATGAGTGTGTCTGAATGGAGGTTCCAGCTGATCAGAGAAAAAGGGAATAGCTGAGCTCACTCAGAGACAAATTCTCAGCCTGTGGGAGAGTAATGACATGGATTTTGGTATTAAATGCTATAGAGTATAATGATTTAGAAATAAACAACAAAACAAGGTAGTTAATCAATGATTGTCAGCCTTGAATTTAAACAAAAATGAAAAATAACACACCATATAGACAGACATAAGGGAAAGGCTACTGATGAGGTTGCAAAATGAGAAAGCGTGGATACAGGTAGGACTTACACACAGTGAAAGCAGACGCCCAAGGTTTCACTCAATGAACTTGTACTTGCACAAAGCTCCTACATTACCTGTACACTGGCAGAGTCAGCTAGTGTAATTAAAGTGGTACAACTCTTCCTACTGAGATGTAGGAAGCGCAAAAGCACTTCTGTTAGAGCAAACGACTGCCATCCAAATAAAGAATGAGTTGCACTTGTCTGACCACATGTGTTCTAGCACAGGATCTGCTGTGCTAGCTTCTTTGTTGAAAGGAAAAATCATCTTTCTAACTAAAATGGAAAGCCTTGCACTAAAACTGAGCAGCATAGACCTGCAAAGCGTAAGCATGAGTCCCTGGACCAAAATGCTTCCTCCTCCTTCAGCTGAGAGCCTCACAGTTAGGTAGAAGCATCTTTTCTTCATCATGGTTCACCAATAAACACACATACCAACTGCAAGTTCTGCAAGATGCAGGCAAATATTTATCCTGTCCCTGATCCAACCGGGTGCCCCTGTCTCTTATTTCCATAGATGAAATAGAAATAGAATCATTAAGTTTGGAAAAGACCTCCAAGATCCTCAAGTCCAACAGCCAACCCAACACCACCATGCCCACTTAACCATGTCCTGAAGTGCCATGCCTACGTGTTTTTTGAACACCTCCAGGGATGGTGACTCCACCACTTCCCTGGGCAGCCTGTTCCAATGCCTGAAAAGCCTCTCAGTAAAGAAATTTTTTCTAATAACCAATTTAAACCTCCCTTGCCACAACCTGAGGCCATTTCCTCTCGTCCTATCTCCAGCCACTTGACAGAAGAGACCAGCACCCACCTCACTACAACCCCCTTTCAGGTAGTTGTAGAAAGCAATAAGGTCTCCCCTCAGCCTCCTCTTCTCCAGACTGAACAGCCCCAGTTCCCTCAGCTGCTCCTCGTAAGACTCATGCTCCAGGCCCCTCACCAGCTTTGTTGCCCTTCTCTGGACACGCTCCAGCACCTCAGTGCCTTTCCCGTGGTGAGGGGCTCAAAACTGAACACAGTACTCGAGGTGCGGCCTCACCAGTGCCCAGTACAGGGGAACAATCACCTCCCTGCTCCTGCTGGCCACACTATTTCTGATACAGGCCAGGATGCTGTTGGCCTTCGTGGCCACCTGGGCACACTGCTGGCTCATATGCAGCCAGCTGTCGACCACCACCCCCAGGTCCTTTTCCGCTGGGAAGTTTTCCAGCCACTCTTCCCCAAGCCTGTAGCGTTACATGGGGTTGTTGGGACCCAAATGTAGGACCTGGCACTGAGCCTTGTTGAACCTCACACAGTTGGCCTCAGCCCATCAATCCAGCCTGTCCAGATCCCTCTGTAGAACCTTCCTACCCTCGAGCAGATCAACCTTCCCTCCCAACTTGGTGTCATCTGCAAACGTACCGAGGGTGCACTCGATCCCCTCGTCTAGATCATTGATAAAGACATTAAACAGAACTGGCCCCAAACCCGAGCCCTGGGGAGCACCACTTGTGACTGGCCACCAACTGGATTTAACTCCGTTCACCACAAATGCCCCCTCCCAGTTGTCCCAAATGCCCATCTGATGTAATCTGCTCATATGACTGCATCATCTGAAAATCCCACCTTTTCCCCATTCTTTTAAAACAATCTTCTTTATCATCAATTTAGTAGACACAGTAGTTCCAGCATTTGGACGGAGGTGTCTACAAATGCAACTGAACTGAATGTGGCCCTGCCCCAATGCCTTTGAGCAATGACGACGTGCACAGAAGATCTGTACAAGAAGACATGGCATGCTGCCATCCGGAGCATATTAAACATACAAACTCACTATCCAGGCCCATTTGGAAGGCTCTGCCTAACATATAAACTGGCATGAGGCCATCCTAACAGATGGGCACAGATGATGGCAGCAAAGAGACAAAGTACTGTACATACAACAACTGTAGGGGCCACAGGCAATGGCTTTAGAAGGTTTTGGAGTGTGCAGAACTTGCATGGCTACACTTAAAAGGCGTGTGCCATCTGTGGGCTGGATTAACTACTAATATATAATGAAAAATACATCTGTTGGTGTACGATGTTGCTCAGAATAAGATGAGAACTGGTCTGCATCAAGTACAGGAGTGTTGCTGGATGGAGAGGGGAGGAAGACAGACGGATCCCTTCAGCCTTCCTACCTCTGAAGGGATGAAGCTTGTAGCACAAAATGTTGAAAATTCAGTCAACGATTTCAAGGTATTGTCATGGTGCGAAATGTCCATCCCAGACATGGAAGAATAAAAAAAAGCTTTAACATCGAATAGCCAGAGCTCTTTCTCCTACCCCATATCAAGCATGAGCTCCACATCTTAAAATGTCTGTCCTTTGAACATCAACAAAAAGCTTCTTGTAATTAGGAGACTGTGGAAATACAAGACACATGATACTGGAAAGGCCAAGGTTGTTTTGTTCCTTTCTCGTTTCCTAGTAATAGGCAAGAGTTGAAACATATGATTATTGTTCCATTATGGCAGGGCACTCTAATCCAGCTGGCAAAACATAAGACTTTAGATATATTATTTTTATGTATTTTTTTGCAGCTGTGACACACGAACAGACAGTTTATCTGGGTAACTAAGGACAAAACTTCCATAGAAGACTGTCAAATATACATTGCTAACAGTAAAGGATTAACGTTTAAGCTGCTATTAGTACAAAACAAATAAGCACTGAAGAAAAGAAAATTTTGGGTATGACACATCCGAGAACACACAAACTGTTCTCTAAGTGAAAACTTTCTTTTTAGTTCTGATTAAGTAACAGGAAAAAAAATACTGTTCCTTTTTAAAAATCACTCTTTATCTAGAGTAACCCACACCTAACTGCTCAGTTTATCCTCCGTGCCCTGAGACATCTCATCAGGGAAGAGACAACCATGGACTGGAATAGCTTGAAACATCTCTCACTAGTCTTCCTGTGACAGTAACCTTGCCTTCATTCTCACCCAAATTCACATATACTCGGCAACTTTGAAATCTAGCATTAAATTTGGCCTCAAAATCTTGTTCTCCTTGCTTCTGGTGGAAATGTTCTCACTGCTCAGATCAACCCTCAAGAAACATGGGGGGCAAAACCCAGCAACAAGCTATCACTTAACGCTGAGGTCCTAGAGGAAGGCTACAGCAGACAACAGTACTGAAGAAATGTCAAGGCAGACACTGTGTTTGGAGTTACGAGTTCAGTTAATAAAAAGGTGTGTGGGTAATTCTTTTTTAATCTTGTAAACAAGAAATTTTTCAAAGGACAC